ACAGGGATGTGTTTTGGGTCTGTATCCTGGTCCCTTGTTTCTCCTGCTTTATCTTCCTTCTTTGTGTGGACTATGATGCACTGTAGTCTCCAAGGCATTATGACGTTTTTATGTTTATATTTAATTGGTGGTTGTATGTTACAGTGACTTACCCATGGTTTTCATTTTGTTTTGTTTGTATGTTACCTACGCAAGCAGGGTACTGTGCTCCTCTATTCACTAGTTGACAGCACTTATAAACTCACTACCTGTCTCTTGTCAGCCTCTGGTATGTCCCTGCCGACCTTGGCAAACAGAGCCTATCCTTAGGTCCCTGGAATCTGAATGAGAATGCATTCATTTTAAAATCCAAAATGGTTGCCACTTGTAAAGATTCAGTATGGCTGCGCCCTCAGTCACTTTAAATATCCAAAATGGCTGCTGCCTGTACACATTCAAAATGGCTGCACCCTCAGTCACTTTAAATATCCAAACTGGCTGCCACGTATAAACAATCAAAATGGCTGTGCCCTCCAGACAGCGGAAAGTCAACAGCTCAGGCTGTCTCCTCCCTTGCTGTTTCCCTTCCTAGTCACAGGCCACCAGTGCAGCTGTTCCTGAAGCCGTTGGTGACCAGGGTTGATCTTCAGGTCAATTCTCAGGTCCCAACACCACTTGGAAATATTCAGGCTCTTGGTCCCATCAGAGAAGCTGATAGTCTGCAGCTCCCACCGTCTCTGTACTCACTGTATATGATCAGGTTTTTCTACTAGTTGGTGCCTAATCCACTTCTGCATAGTTCCTTTCAAAGCTCAGGGCTCCAGGATTATCCTCTGTATCTCTGTCAATTGGTTTTTCTTTGTTAAAGAGGGTCTGTGTCGCTTGTCTGCCTATTCCTCCATCTTACCAGAAGTCTCCTAACTAGCTCTTAAAGGTCAAATGCAGATCCACAAAAAGCAATGCTGACAGAATCTGCTTGTGAGGTTGAAGTCCAAATATGACTTTCCTGGACACACACACACAC